AAAAGAGCTGTGTGAAGCTGCTTGTTGGAACATCATTTAAGGACGTTCTCCGACTACAGTGGTTAGCAACCTAAATACAGTAGTTAGCAAACTAAAATATCTCTTCTCATGAGTTTGTACTGCTGTAACAAAGTTAAGTTGAGCTATTCAGCACTGCTAAGACCCGCTTACTCTGCGCAGAAGTTTAAAAATAGCTGCAGTACACAGCGCACATAAATCCAGCAAAACAAAAAAAAAAAAAACCTAGCCGATCGCAGGATGTTGTGCGGAAAAACTGCGTATATATATATATATTTGTTCGCGTGTAAATTGTTACACGCGAGTTTTTTTGAATTGAATATCAATTCTTAAATTCATATTGGATGCTAGATTTGCATCACATATATGAGACCTCGGTAGCCTCGGTAGCCTAACAGGGAAGGCGATGGCCCGGAAAGCCGGAGATTCCAGGTTCGACTCCTGGCTGAGGAGTATTTTTTCGCAATATTTTCAAAATTAGTTAGGGGGGTAGATGGGATCTCTCATATATGTGATGCAAATCTAGCATCCAATATGAATTTAAGAATTGATATTCAATTCAAAAACTCGCGTGTAAAAATTTACACGCAAACAAATATATATATATGCATATATATATATATTTACGCAGTTTTTCCGCACAACATCCTGCGATCGGCTCGGATGACCGTAATTATATTTCTTAGTTTAGTAACTTATCGAGCTTCAATAAGCTTTAATTGTTAAAAAAAAAACCTAAAAAAAGTACAGTTTGAAAAAAAGGGTTGCTTGCCATATTATTCAAAATCGTATTTTAATTAGGACACTCCCCACTACCGCATACTTGTTTTTTAAAAAAAACCTAAGAAAATTGTCGTCAGTAATTTTAAAAAACCCCACTTCACAAAGGCTCAGCATAGAAAATCCATGTTAAAAATTGAAATATAAATCTTCCATATTTTGGAATTTACCATTGCTACCCCTATTATCCAAAAAGGCTACGTATAAATAAGATCATAAACTATGTATATCGCAAATTTAAAGAAAATCCTAAGAAAATCAATAATTCGGAGAACGTCCTTAATTCTTAATAAAGTCAATAGATCGCGCTTTATATACAAATTTACTGAATTGTATTTCTAGTCAGCTTATTAGTTTTTGTTTAACACATGGCATACGATTACTTAAATCTAATTTTAAAGATTTAAAAAATAAAACAAATATGTATATATATATATATATATATGTATATACCCAGATAACCAAGACTGAGTGATCATATTTTGCAAAATCTGCAATAACACATTATGCCAGTACAATGTAGCCAGCATTCCAACATAATCTGTTATTTCAACTAGTGTCGACAGAAAAACAGAAAAAAAAGAATATAAATGTGTTATGTCGTGATGCAAATATTATTGCATCAATCAAGCAGAACTTGCTCAAAAAATGTAGCAGATTTGAAGCATAACGTGCTATTGTCATTTCATTCTTTATTTATTTCTATATTTTTGCTGTGTTGTTTTCTTTACATATTGTGCCTACATAATTCACTCACTATGATGACACAGCTGAGTGGAATCTGCTGCAAAGTGCTGATTAAACCTGCGTGCATACTGCAGGCATACTGCTATCATTTGGCTATCGGGGTATATATATATGTAAAAATAAAAATAAAAATAGAGAATAGTGAATATAATTTATAACCATTTTACGTTTTATTTAATGTTAAATAAAATATTAATTAAATAAAACTGTAATAAAATTAATACATCTTTATCCTCACTGCTTGAAATAATTATATCTTCTGTACTACTAGGTACTTGATTCACTTTTCATTATTATTACTATTAAAAATGTAATAAAACATTTTTATCAAATAAAAATGTAACAATGTTGTCTCCAAATTAATTTAAATTTTTTAGATAAATAACAATAACATTTATTTTCTATTTAATAGAAAAATCAAATGTAATGATTAACAGTTCTTCTTTAAGTAATAGCAGTAATAATGATGAAAAGTGAATCAAGTAGTAGTACAGAAGATATAATTATTTCAAGCAGTGAGGATGAAGATTTATTATTAAATTATATGTTTTCAGCTCGTTGAATATTTAAATAAAAAGAATCAAAGAAATGGCAATAACTAGCTAACACCAGATGTTCGGGTACAATTCTTTTATAATTCGAAGATTTTAAAAAATTTTTAACAAACGTTTCGATCCACTATGGGATCTTCTTCAGTGTTTTAATAAAAACTTACAAAAAATAATGATCTATTCAAGATCATAAAGAATATGGGTAAGAAAAGATACGCTACATAAATATTCAGTATGAGAAAAAGAGAGGCGGAAATGGCAGTCACGTAACCGTCAGTGTTACGCAACAGGACGCGAAACGTCCTCCCGCTTCGAATGTAACTGACAGATTTATCCCACACAGACATCCATCCATCCAGACATCCATTAAACATCTATTAGATGTCGCATGGAGCTGTCGACGTCTAATAGACGTCTAATGGAGTTTTTGTTCTGTGTGGGATTATTACTTTCATTATTACTTTCATTGATGAAATTGTTAACAAGTGATCGTAGAAATCGTCGCATTCAAGATTATTTGCACATTATTAATCGTTGGTTTGATCGAGAATTTAAAGAGCATTTGAGAATAAACCGATGTATCCCAAGATAAATATATGTTTGCAAAACTACATAGATTTTTGTTATTAAAAAAAGTAATAATAGAATTTATTCAATTTAAATCATTTATCACCTGCATCTTCAGTGTGTCAAATGCAATGTTGCCAATTTATTGAGAGAATTCAGATTAAAATTGGCAGCAGTTTGTTTTTTAGTCCCCGCCTCAAGGACTAAATTTATTATGGAAAAATGCATGACATTTCATGTATTTCGAAAAATTACATTGTTGTCAATTGATTCCACAAATTGCGATGTCACCAACATGAAAATCTCGATGTATGAAACGA